CCTAAACCCTAAATTTACAAATTGATGAAACCCTAAACCCCTGCACCCTAAACCCTAAATTTACAAATTTACCAAACCCCAAGATTCCAAGCTTTGAACTTCTGACTTTACTGCTTAATCCTCGGACTTTACAGCCAGGACGGCCTTGGTGCGGGGGGATTGGGGTGTTTTGGGGTTTTGATGGTTTAGGGCTTTGGGTTTAGGGTTATGATCCGGGGTACAGGGAGGGATTTAGGATTTAGGGCTCTGGCACTGCGGGATTTTACCAACGACAGACAACAACCACCATCACAACCATAACCACAAGCACAACCACAATCACAACCGCCACAACAAGCAATGAAGCAAACGAATCGCTACCTAAGCCGCTGGCTACCCTCCAATCAAGGAAAGCTGCACGCTGGAGACACGAGTTACCGCTTCGGAGGAGCTGGCGTTAGAATCCTTGGTTCAGGTTTAGGGTGTTTGGTCGGAGAAAGAAGGGCGACAAAGGGGCTATCGTAGTCTGTAAAGGGTTTTGGGGCTGTCCGAACGAGGGTTTATAGGTAACCCGAACCAAGAGCTACGATGAAGTGTACACGTGGTTGAGCTTCTTGTGTGGGAGGGAAGTTGTCCACTCGACTAGAGGCTCCGGGTTACCTTTAGCTTTTTGGGGCCCTAAACCCAGTCATGCCTTCCCGTTTAGGGTTTAGGGTTTAGGGTTCCTATAAGGTTTCCTTTGAGGGTTCCTGCAGCGGTTCTACAAGGGTACTGTCGGGTCTAGGGTCTCTTGGGCTCGGGATGTAGAGAATACCTAGAATCTCCGTCGTATTTTCTTTTTGGGGTTACCTTTTGGGATCCTTACTTTTGATTTAGGGGTTCAGTATTTAGGGTTTAGGGTTTGGGCTCACGGTGTAGAAAATACCTATAGTCTCTAGAGTCTCCGTTGTAGTTCCTCTTTGGGGTTGGGGTTGCCTTGAGGGATCCTGAACTCTTATAGAAACCCTACAGAGACCCGCATAGAAACCCCTATAGAAACCCTTACAGAAACTCACAGAAACCCCATAGAAACCCTGCAGAAACTTTCATAGAAACCCTGAACCCTAAACCCTAAACCCCTAAACCCCTAAACCCTAAACCCTAAACCCCTAAACCCTAAACCCTAAACCCTAAACCCTAAAAACCCTACCCAGAGGTAGGACTCAGTGTCGGTCTTGGGGTCTGGGGCTGTGGGCATCAGGCTTCGTGTCTTCTAGGGTTTGGAGTGCTTAGCGTTCAAGCTGTTCTTTAGGGTTCAGGGTTTGGGGGTTTAGGGTTTAGGGGTTTAGGGGTTTAGGGTTTAGGGGTTTAGGGGTTTAGGGCTTAAGGATGTAATGTTTAGGGTTTCCGTAGAAATGCATGAGGTTTGAACCCCTTGAAATTAACCCAGTTCCAGGCCTACAAAATCGTCAAGCACGCCACTTACGACCACAAGTCTAAGTCCATAGCTACCCGCGCACCTAAATTCCCCTGTAAACCCCCAAATCCCAAAACCCTAAAGCCTAAGCCCTAAACCCTAACCCCTAACCCCAAAAAAGGTATTTAAACCCTGAAGCCTTGAGCGCACATCACAAACTTCAATCTCCTACACAAGTAGGATCCTTAGATTCCAAGCCCGGGCTCCATTCGAGGTAGAGGTGGCATTTCACCGTGCTTCCTGCACTTAGCAGGGAAGGAGCTATATAATAAGCAGCTAATATATTAGTGCTAGTACTAATCAGTATCACAATAACAATTCTATGAATAGGAATACTGGAAACAAAAAACGAACAGTAGGAGGGTGTGTTTAACCCCTAAACCCTAAACTTTAAACCCTAAACTTTAAACCCGAAGATTACGATTAAGGGCTGCTATAAAGGACTGCTATAAGGGGTTGCGATAAAGACTATTCTACGGCTTGCTAGAAGGGGTAGGGTCTAGGGTTGAGGGTTTAGGGGTTTAGGGTTTAGGGCTTTTGGCTTAGGGGTTTAGGGTTTAGGGGTTTAGGGTTAGGGTTTAGGGGTTTAGGGCTTAGGGGTTTTGGTTTAGGGGTTTAGGGGTTTAGGGTTTAGGTTTTTGGGTGCGGATGTTTCGGACCTCGAGCTCCATTAGAGTTTATGCCGTGTGCTTCGTGTTGCAAGTTTACACTCTAATGAGACTCCCAAATACACAAATATTACCTACTTACCTGGGGGCTATTAATGTAGAAGCCTTGAAAAAAGGAATAAAGCATATTATACTAAATTCTATAGTAAGCAATCCCACAAAATAGTATTGGTAATTAACTTAGGCCCCTACATTAGTCTTGGGGACTGGCCGTGGCGTCTCAATGTACTGCGAGGACTCGACTCAAGACCATTCACAAGGTGGTATTACAACTTATACTTCCGCCTTCTATGTTGAAGAAGCATATTATAGAACATGACGCTCCAAACCCCAACCCCGAACCCCTGACACTTTTCCCTTATACCCGGAACACCAACAAGGTCTGTTGCATTCCCCTGACTTTCAAAAAATAACTTCTCTATCGAACTTGTTTAAAAATCGTGTCTGAAGTGATTCGGAATCTGTGATAGTACAACACTCGTACATACGTACATCAAGCTTTATCTACACATATTATAGAAAAGCCGAGCTTTGTAAACCCTTAACCCTAAACCCCAAACCCAAAGCCTCTAAACCCTGAACCCCTAAACCCTAAACCTCTGAACCCTAAACCCCTAAACCCCCAAACCCCTGAACCCTACACAGATATATACGGTTCACCCCAGCCTGCTCAATGAATTTCTTGATCGTTTGCAGAGAGGTCTGGGCAAACTTGTTGCTTTCCTGCAGGTGCGTGAAGCTGTACCAGCCAACCACGCTAACTTGGCTGTTGTCCAGGTCAGTGAACTCGATCTCATCAACGCGAAGTCCATGCCCGAAGACACGCAACAACGCCTTCGGCACGGTGGGCTTCGGCTCGGTGTTCTCGTACCTTTGCTGAACGGCAGGGCCCCTGCCGAATACTTTGTGACCTGATGCAAAGAGTCGCTGTAATTCAGTTAACACCCTATTGAAGTCCTCAAAAAGCCAGGCTACAGCCAGACAAGAGAACCAACGCTTCAGCCTCTGGAGGGCCTAAACCCCAAACCCCTAAACCCCAAACCCCTAAACCCAAAGCCCTAAACCCCCTAACCCCCAAAACCCCCAAAACCCCCAAAACCCCTAAACCCTAAACCCCTAAACCCTTAAACCCCTAAACCCCTAAACCGTTAACCCTTAAACCCCTAAACCCTTAACCCTTAAACCCCTAAACCCTAAACCC